AGAAAAAGAAGGATCCGTCGTGAGCTAATACCTGGAGTTGGATAAAGATCTGTTTTTGGGGTTCTCCATTTCCCTTCTTTGCAATTCTACTTTTTAAGTTTAATCACATTTTTCTTTGCCTAAATTTAGGGGGTTTTGAGAACTTGAAGTTGATTGCTTTCATTTACTTTTTCCAAAAATACTGTTGGAAATTTCTCAGATATTCTGTAAACTATCTGATTACCTCTAATTCAGTTAAATTAGCCAGGTGGTCACTGGTCTCTCTGTTTGTGTCTTATAATTTGATTTGCTTCAATTCAAATTTCTTCTATTGGTATCATAGAGAAAAAGACATGGATGTGTTATTAAACATAGCCGAGCCAGAAAAAAAAATTCAACTAAATTTGAATCGGTGGACATAAAAGATGAAATGAATTTCCTGCCGTATGTGTGCCTATGTATCTGTGCCAGAATAAATTGTCTGAATATGGCCCTGGTAACCTAGAGGCTTGTCACTCCAAAAAACTTGCATTATTGCACATCAAATCTTGTTTCTTGGGGCAGAGACCATTAAAGTGACAAAGTGTTTTTTAATGAATGATTTGTTTATGGACTATTGCTGTTCCATATGTAGATTACAGTGGACAGAACATGTACTCTTATTGCTACGAAGTGATTGAGTTGCTACTTGCCAGGTTTTCATCTGCCATTTTGTCTGAATATTTCTATTTATTTGCCGTGCTATTTGTGGTGTAATTTTTGTTTGTGAGGTGCTACGACCGGAAGGGGCCTAAGTAAACTTGAGAAAAACACGAGTAGGAAACATACAAGTGATGTGCTTTTGTTGAAGTGGAAGTCAAGTTCTATTAATGTTATTTTACAAAATTTCATCTTCCCTTTGGTTGAAATTCGAGCCAATTTTTCCTAAGATATCGTATAATATTTGCATTTTCCTTATAAACCTGAACAAGCAGTAACCATTCCAGTAGTTCAATTCAGCAAATGGCAAATGGCAATTATACCCGAAATGGAAGCAACTTTTACATTGTTGTAATGTTCCAGCTATATTTACTGTATCAAGTTGTTTTCTAAAAGATATGGTTCTACGAAAGTAGCCTTTGACAATCTTGTATGCTTTTCGTCTCCATTTCATGTTGGTTTTGGATGCTGTGGAAGATTGTGTGGGGTTGAAAATGGAGGGAAAGTCTGGAATAATAGATGGGAGGTGAGCGTGTGCACTGTTGATTCAATCAATGGTGCCATTATCACTACGTGGTGGTGGTGTTGGGAGGAATTTGACGGGGAGAGGAGCCACAGTGTTGGAAATGTGAAAGAAAATTTTTTATTTTTTGAAAGTCAATGGAATACTTAGGTATATACTTGTTGCCACCTATTTGAAACTCACTGGAATACTTAAGTATATACTTCTTTTTAACGCTAGCATTACTTTCAAAATTACATTGCCCGTGCATTGCACGGGAGACAAACTAGTATATGTATATAACGTGATTTTTAAATATACAAACAATATCTCTTAAATTTGAAATGATGCATACTAAAGGCCTGGATTATGTATTGTTCCCTTAAAAAAATGATAGACTCATGGACTCATCTGGCTCTACTTGTCGTCTCAAAAGCTCGAGTTCATCTAGAATATGAGTCGAGTCAAGTAAAGCCGAGCGATTTGAGGCTTTGAGCCCCTGAGCCAACTCGTTGCCATCTCTAGCTAGTGTAACTTTTTATCTTCAAATTCTATATCTTCCAAATTCGAGAATAATCCAATATTAAAAAGTTGGACATACGAGAAAAGTCTACTATATAACAAAGATGATAATACAATTACAATGAAATGCTAGGAGATTAGTCTGCATCCTTTAAATGTTAACGGTTATCTTGCTACAAGATAACGAGTTGTTAGCTGTAGACCAATGGTGCAAATTTTCCTAATATTTTACATAGAAGCTTTCATTTTTATCTTGAATAAATAAATGAAAAAATATATATTCGAACAAGACTGAATTGTTTAGTTTAATTGGATTCACTTGATGGATTTTGGTCTTACAATTTGGATTCTTTAAGACTTTTGGAGACTTTTTTTTTAAGTAAATGACTAAAGAGTTCAATGAACTTTTATTGATTTTTTATAGACTTTTTACAAATTTTCTTAAAGTGTTCATAGACACATACTTTTATTTCTATTCATTTGATTTTTATGGGCTTTCAATTTAGGTAAAAAAATATTGTATATAACTTATTGCACATCCTTGTAAATCGATACTTGCATGTTCGAATCTTTCACAACTTATAGTAGTAAAATTATTAAAAATATCCTTGAAAAGAATATGAAAATATAAGTCACTTAAATTATAAAATAAAAAAAATACAAAAAAAAATTATAACATTTTAATAGTCTTTGATGAAAAAAATTCTCTGATGTTCAATATTATAAGTATTTTTTAAACTTGTAGAAAGTTATTAAACTAAACAAAGAAATTAATTATAAATATTATTTAATAAAATTTGATTAAAAATTGATCTTTCTCTAATGGAAATTTGGAAGAAAGAGTGAAAAATGTTAAAAAGGAAATTTTATTTAAAAATTGAAATTTTTTCTTTATAAAAAAGAGAGAGAATGATAGAAGATAAAAAAGAAAAGAAAATATTTAAAAAGAATGTTAATAATAGCGAGAAAAATATTGTTTTTTATACGGGGTCTGTTTGAATCGAATTAAAATTTGATTTTAATTTAAATCAAACTCAAACAATCAATATTAACCACATCTTTTATGAGTCCCACATCTTTTCAACCTTTTCAACCACATGTTTCAAAAACTTCTATCAGAATTCATTGAAAATTTAGGATCCGTTCGGTAGGGATTAAAATCAGATTAAAATTGAAAAAATAGTCGTTATTGTTGACTTTTATTAGACGAGTGAGACCCAATAACGACCATATTTTCAATGTTAATTGGATTTTAATCTCTACCTAACAGGCCAATCTTAATCCCAATCAAAAATATCCTTGTAATGACTATAAAAATATTGAAAAAACTAAAAAGAGAAAAATATATACGTAAACGTCCAAGAGACGAGAGCTTCGCCGCTTTCATAATCGAACAGTTGATTCTTGTTTCAATTTCTGGTGTGAAATTCCAATTTTGGTCTCGCTGATCTAAGAGGAGGTGAAAGGTTTGATGAAGATTACCGGACTATCGATGGGTGATTATCGATATGCCTCAACTGCGTAGAGGCCGCAGGACCGCTCGACTACCCGACCCGATTAAGAAAACCCCTGTTAGTAGAAGGAACTCCAGGCGAACTGCAGGGAGACGAACCTCTGGGAAGAACAATAATAAGAATATCAAGGATAAGGAATTTGTGGTGCTGGATTATGATAGTGGTGATAATGGGGATAGAAATATTGATGCTGCTGCTACGTCTTTGAGAAATACGACGTCATTGAGGGGTGAGGGTAATAAGAAAGCCGAGGAAGTGAAGAAAGATTTGGGTGAGAAGAAGATGGATGAGTGCAACGGCAATGGTGACAAGGGCAGCACTGCTCCCATTCCCGAAAGGGTATGTTGAAGTTTTCTTGAAACACTTTCCAATTTTTTCAGTTATATATATGTTATTTTGATGTTTAAATTATGGGTTTATTTTGGCGGTTGTTGGCTTTTCAAATAGAGATGGGCTAGACGGTAAATTTTGGGGTTGAAAGTTTTGACTTTTCTGTTACTTTTTAGCAGTCTGCTGAAGTGGTTTTTATTTGGGGTCTGTTTGGTTTTTGTGTGTATAACTGACCCTTTTTGCTAACTAGAGCTGTATATATTACTTATGGCATTCAATTGCATTAGGTTCTGTTGTTGTTTGGGTGACTGTTTGAGTGTGGTACGGGTTGAAAAATTTGTCCTTTTGAGTGATTTGTACGAGAAAATTGTGCTTGAGAATTGAAGGGGAAGCTTTAGGTGCTTTGCTGTCAACTGTAAGTGGGTGTCTGTGGAATTTATTGTACATTTCTGGCTTAATGTATTTGTTCTATAATGCGTTGCATTGTTCATTTGAGTACTTTTCTAAAAAGTTCAATTTTTATGGGCTTTAATAAGGAAAGGAACTCTTTTTTTATTTTTGACTCGCTTGTCCAGTTTTTGTGTTTTTGTTTCCAAGCAAAAGAGTAGACACAAAAATCTTGGTCATATGCAAGCAATTTAGCTCTAGCTGATCAATGCATTTCACTGGTGTTTCTACACCAGATGGTTTTCTTCAAGGTTCTGTTGCACATAGCTAGCGTGTGGGAATTCAGATATGAGATATATGGTAGCTTACCTTGTTGTGTCTTTGTTAATTAGATGCTTTCTACGAAACAGGTCCAGGTTGGTGGTTCTCCAGCTTATCGTATTGAGAGGAAACTGGGTAAAGGAGGATTTGGGCAAGTGTATGTTGGTCGCCGAATAAATCCCCCAAATCCGATTGAAAGAACAGGTCCAGGAGCTTTAGAGGTATGTTATATACTCTCTAGCTTGTAGTGGTGAGCTCTTTTTTATGAAAATGAATATTTCTTCCATGACCTTTCTAGGCAGCCTTGAAATTTGAGCATCAGAGCAGCAAAGGCTGTAATTATGGACCCCCTAATGAGTGGCAAGTCTACAAGTGAGTTATTTCTTTCTCTCTTATAATTGCTTCTTGTTGCAAGCTCAAAAGAATGGTCTCAAGAGTTCCCTGTGCTTTCCCAGTGCACTAGGTGGCAGTCATGGCATTCCACGTGTACATTACAAAGGACAGCAAAGTGACTATTACATTATGGTAGGTGCTTCATGTGGTAGTTAGTTTGTTCCTCAATTCATTTATGATTTATCTGATTTTCTATGTGGACGTGACAAACTATACCATATTTACAGGTTATGGATATACTTGGTCCTAGTTTATGGGATGTCTGGAACAATACTTCCCACACGTTAGTGTTCATTTTTACAGTTATTCACCAAAATTTATTCTGTCCCCTTTTAAATTTCTTGTACAGCATTATGCATCTAACTTCAGAATGCTTTTTGGACAGGATGTCCATCGAAATGGTAGCATGTATTGCCATTGAAGCAATTTCCATCCTAGAGAAGTTGCACTCCAGAGGGTAATTACTTTGAACTTATCTGGACTCCAACCATGATAGAATTAGAGCATTTAAGTGGCAATACTTCATTTTAGTAGTGATGCTAAGAATGACAAACCTACCTTTATTGGGCAGTCTATTGAGCACAAGTTGTCTTGAGCATCTATTTTATACATTTATTGAGATTACTACAGTCCTTCTGTATTTCGTTGTAGAATACCGTTTGCATAACTTCTATTATTTGATGGTATGCATTTGTAATGAGGATTACTAGAGTAGTTGCCTTTTTAAAGTCGCTATCTATTGTCTGAATCATGACCAGAAACACGTATGTAAATACACTTGGGTATAGTAGATGCTGAACTGGTACGCACTTTACTGATATGTTTATGTATTTGTGATTGTAGTTGGAGAGGAATAGGACTGAAAATCAACTGAATGGTTTAGAGATGCATCAGCAGACTTACAGATGGAAAATATTAAAATTTAATAAATTAAGATCTGCAATGACTTTGGCTCATAAATGCATTATACTCTCTGAAATTGCAGATGTCAATTGAAATTTTTTTTGCATTCCTTTCTTGGTAAAGTGATACAGAATTTGTTAATTTTTTTTGTTTTTACTTTTGTTACACATCTTGCATTAGGATTGGATTAGGCCTCAGCTTTTTGAAGGTAAAGGCATGGGCAAGGTCCTCTTTCTTTTCTCTCGTAGCTATGTCCTCAACTACGACATTAGGAGGGTCCTTTCGATTTATTTTTTCACTTCCCTTGTGCCTACAGAATATCATTGTCTCATCATTTTGACTGGTTAACTAATTAAGACTGTATTGGTAAGATGCAGTGAAACAATTATGAAAATGAGTAGCTCATCTGACTTGTTTAACAATTCTTTCAAATAATTTTTTTTTTTTGAATAGTGTTTTTCCTTTTATAAATTTGTGCAGATACGTGCATGGGGATGTGAAGCCTGAGAACTTTTTGCTTGGTCCACCAGGAACACCTGAAGAGAAAAAACTTTTTCTTGTTGATCTTGGATTGGGTAAATTATCTGGCATACTGTAGCCTTTTTGTGAAATTAGCACAAACTATAAATACAGCAGAGGAATGTCATATTCACTGATGTTTCACCTGTTTTGATGTTTCAGCCACTCGTTGGAGAGATAGTTCAACTGGCCTGCATGTTGATTATGATCAACGGCCGGACATATTTAGGTAAATTATTAATGGGACTGTATTTTGTTTTTCTTCACTTGCTATGTCTGGTGATGATCTGTTCTTCATTGCTTATTTGACACTTGAGAATGCTGGTGCTGCAGGGGAACAGTACGTTATGCCAGTGTGCATGCTCATCTTGGAAGGACTGGGAGCCGTAGGGATGATTTGGAATCTCTCGCTTATACAATGATTTTTCTTCTCCGTGGTCGACTCCCTTGGCAGGGGTTTCAGGTAGCTAATTTGCAGATCTGAAATATGCTTTGTCCTTGTGATTTATTAATTATGTATGCTAACTTGATGATTCACTTAGGGTGACAATAAAGGCTTCCTTGTCTGTAAAAAGAAGATGGCAACTTCTCCAGAATCCCTATGTTGCTTCTGCCCAGCACCTTTCAGACAGTTTGTTGATTATATTGTGAACTTAAAGTTTGACGAGGAGCCTAATTATGCAAAATGCATCTCCCTCTTTGATGGAATAATTGGTCCAAATCCCAGCATCAGGCCAATAAACACTGAGGGTGCTCAGAAGGTATTCTACATTTTTTTCTTTGCATTTCTTTGAAATTTTTACCGTCCTTCGGAGTTTAGTGAAATTGGTATTGTGCTTTCTGCTCACAAAGCTTATATATCAAGTTGGACAAAAGAGAGGAAGACTGATGATAGACGAGGATGATGATGAGCAACCAAAGAAAAAAGTCCGCATCGGAATGCCTGCAACGCAGTGGATTAGTGTGTATAATGCTCGCCGCCCTATGAAGCAAAGGTATGCGTGGCTTATAGCACTAAGTTTCTTCCTGAGATTTTCCGAGTATAATAGATTTGTGTCCTATGGTTGGTCTTGTAGATATCACTATAATGTGGCAGATTTAAGGCTTGCTCAGCATAATGAGAGAGGAAACGAAGATGGACTATTTATCAGCAGCGTGGCATCTTCTTCGAACTTATGGGCCCTAATTATGGATGCAGGGACAGGCTTTACTGCACAAGTTTATGAACTGTCACCGCAATTTCTTCACAAGGTCTCTTGTAATCTTCTGACCTTGTTTGTGAAGAAAGAAATTAACACTTCCAATATATTGTTTCAAATGAGAAAAATAATACTTCACATGCTATAGATACCTTAGATTTGTCAACCTGTTGAGTAAAGAAAATAAAATGTTTAGAAAAACGTTGCATTTCAAATTTTAGTGCTACTTATCTCAATTTTTTCATATTTTAATGAAATTAAAATGGGACACCAGTGAGCATGGCTGCATAATGCGTATCAAAATTTATGAATTTGTGCATGTTATTATTTTAATTGGTATGCCTCCTGCACACATATGAACTAAAATCTTTCCTTTGTATTTGCCGTAGGAATGGATTATGGAACAGTGGGAGAAAAATTATTACATCAGCGCAATAGCGGGGGCAAATAATGGGAGATCATTTGTAGTTATGTCGAAAGGTTGGTGTCACTTTTGTTGTCTCTTGATGCAATAGGGGTTCACCTATTCTCGTTCTTTATGAAATACAGGTACTTCGTATCTGCAGCAGTCCTATAAAGTCAGCGATTCGTTTCCATTTAAGTGGATAAACAAGAAATGGAGAGAGGGGTTCTTTGTCACTGCCATGGCAACTGCAGGAAATAGGTGGGCAGTTGTTATGTCCCGTGGGGCTGGTTTTTCGGATCAGGTATGTTGCTACCATGATCAGTATGCATCTTTTTATGGGTGAAAATAACGTTTGGATCACATCCTTCACAAATTTCAGGTTGTCGAGTTGGACTTTCTTTATCCCAGTGAAGGTGTTCATAAAAGGTGGGATGCTGGTTATCGTATCACATCAACTGCAGCAACATGGGATCAGACTGCTCTTGTTCTTAGTGTTCCAAGAAGAAAACCTGCAGACGAAACACAAGAGACACTTCGGACTTCTGCTTTTCCAAGCACGCACATTAAGGTTGACTGTTTATATCCTTTGTTGCTGTTGAACCCGTTTTGGCAATTTTCGCAATATTTTGTAGGTAATATTTGTAAGTTATGTCTTGCAGGAAAAGTGGGCAAAAAATCTCTACATAGCATCGGTGAGTTATGGGCGAACTGTTTCTTGATGCATCCCAATTTTCTTGGAGATTTCAACAAGATTACAAGATGATCTTCTACTTTTCATACGAGCTATGAGACGCTTGCCAATTTTTTCTCGATTGAAGAGAAAAAATTACATGTCCTTGACTGGCAAGCCAACTGGTCGTGCCATTGGATGTTGAAGTATGCTTGCGTTGTACCATCAACATATAAGATTATTATTTGCTACGTCCTGTCACTATACTGCACTTGTTATGAAAAACTTTGGGCAGTTTGAAATCTTTCACTTGTAAACTTAGGGCGTGGTCGGTAGAGATTAAAATCGGATTAAAATTGAAAAATAAGTTGTTATTGTTGATTTTTATTAAACGATTGAGACTCAATAACGATTATATTTTCAATTTTAATTGGATTTTAAACTTGGTCAAACATGCTTTTATTACTGGAAGTTTGTATAGTTTTGAACAATAATTACTTGGAGGCTAACCACAGATTTTATATCTGGAAAATAGCAATATAATTTAAATTTTTATCATTATTTTTTTGTGCCAGACATTTGTTCTTATTTACGGAGTTGCCTACTTTGAGAATTTTAATACTTGTTTGGTAATGCTTTTAAGTGATCATAAATTGTTGAGTCATACGGAATGTGTATAGGGATGTGTAGAAAGTATGTATGATCAGCTTTAAAAGTTTAAGCAGTATCAAATCTCTTAGTTCAAAACTTAATTTTGTTTTTCAGGAGTCCATTTGTATGTAGTTTGAATAATGCTATGCAATTTATATACTACATAGTACTAGATCGTATCGGATAATAAATAAACATTTTTTTTTTTCTTATTTAGTACTATAGTGTTAATCTAATTTACCTTACCAATCATGACACAAGAGAACACAATTTAGCTCTATAACATGAGCATCATAGTATCTTGCTTGATCTCTTCTCTCCCGACGCACGTCGTAAGTGGAATGGAAGATTAGCAGAGTTTTGTATCCCCAAAAAGTGGTGATTTTTATGAAATAATATAAAACTTGTAAAAAATGTTTATTTGCATGCGTAGATTTAAAATCAAATTTTTGGTAGATTTTGATAAAAGTTAATAAAATATGAGGTTAAATTTGTGAATTCCATAAAATGTATGGGTAAAATAGTTGTTAATTTTAACTTAGTTTAAAGTCTGAATTTTAATTTATACCAAACAGATGTCCGACATAGACGAAAATTTGGAGTTGACTATAAAAGTGTGCCCCGATGCTGCAAATTCATTGAAAGATTGGGTGTTTGTATGACTTTGCGCCGGTCAAGTTCACGAGTCATGGATAAGTATGTTCGAATTTTTGACATTCTTCACAGTTACAAAGGTAAATCACCGCCTCTAAGATCGCTCAAGTGATTCAATCATAGAGACCAACTATTGACAGTTAGAGGTGTCAATGGGCCGATCCGAGCCAAGCCGGCTTGGCCTATACCCACACGAACTCGGCTCGTGCTCGCATGAGCTGAGCTTGTAGTTCGTTGCGAACGAGCCGAGCTTGGTTTTTGGGCAAAAATCGGGGTCATTTTGATATCTCTTAAAAGCCCTAACAGTTATATATAAAGACGTTCAAGAACCATACAACTAGTGAGATAATAAACACCAGATAATATATTTGTAGACTCATAAAAACTTGCCAAAAAATTTTTAATTTTAAAAACTGTAGTTCAATCGGATTCATTTAAGATA